AAAAAAATAAATTAAAGAAATTACATAAAAAAATGAAAACTTTAAATAGTTGATTTGATATTTAACATTGATATATTTTTTTTCAAAATTTTATGATATTTTCAAATTTATATTTTATTCAAAAATAAAATCATTATTGCTTTCTTAAAAACACATAAAATCGTATTATAACATCGACAGAGACAAATATAAAATAGAATATTAAAACCGAGATGTGTCTCGCTGCATTGCGTGAGTACTCTTCTAGTATATCAAAGTAACTTCATACCTACAAAATAGCACGTTGTAACGTGTCATAACGCGTTAGGGGCCGTTTACCTAATGCTTATCCGGGTAAGCATTTATTAAGTAACATTACCTCACCGGATGAATATTGTAAGGATCAAGAATCTTACCCGGTAAGAGCGAGACAAGGATCAAGAGTCTTACCCAATAAGTGAGAACGACGACTCTTACCACGATAAGCGCTTACCGGGTAAATTGTTGTATACTATGTCGTTTTGGTGAACTAAAATCTTACCCAATAAGTATATAATAGTGTTAAATTTTACCGATAAACACTTATCGGATAAATGTTTGATAAACAGACCCTCATACAACTACAAGTTTTCAAATGAAAAAAGTTACCACCATAGATTCTCATAGCTTCACCAAACACCTAAATTTGACATTTTTGAGTGAAATTTAGGTATATAAATACATGGACGGATTCAAAAAAGGGCATATAGTGGTGCGTGCCACCGTATTATCTCCCTATCGAAAGGTTAAATTTTTACGTTTATGAAAGGTGCAACCGTATCGTTTTAGAAGGTACCACCATACAGAAAACATATATCTATGTGTATATAATTTTGTATATGACATACAAATTTGTCGTCTTATGTCATTTCTTTAAAAAACAGCACGTCCTCGCCGTGACGTGTAATGTTGAGGCTTGACTTTGCCGTGATGTCACGCCACACACCATTTATGTGATTTTAACTCATCATCTAGTTTAACATACGATATTAGTTTAAGAGCTTAATTCAAATAATTTATTAACTTAATTACCATTACATTATCGACTAGTTTATTAAGCATCGCTTAATTCAACCACACTTGGAAAGGTATTCAAACAAAGCATATAAGACGTTTACTCCTCGTCTGGAATGAGCACAACCGAACCCGTTGTTTTTCGGCTCTCGAGATCAACATGAGCTTGAACAGCTTGACTCAAAGGATACTTGTGATTCACACGAACCCTCAAAACTCCCTTTGCAACACAAGAAAACAACTCTTCAGCAGCTGCAACCAACTCCTCTCGATCATCGGTGTACGCCTTCAGTGCCGGAAAAGTATAGAACAACGATTTGCTCGAAAGTTTAGCAAAAGCTATCGGCTCCGGTTCACCGGATGCCATTCCGAAATGGCACATAAGTCCACGAGGTTTTAAACAGGTCAAAGATCCCTTCAATTCAACCATAATTAAACACAGTAATTAGTTCCATAATTGCAATCGAAACCCACATTAGGGTTAAAAGATGTTTAAAAACTAAATTCACCAATTGGTTTTGGCAATTTATGTAATTAGATCACGTACATCAAAGGTGTCTTTGCCGACGGAATCGTAGACAACATCCACCCCTTTGCCGGAAGTTATCTCCATCACACGATCCACAAAGTTCTCATCTTTGTAAAGAATCACATGCTGACACCCATCTTCTTTGGCCTGCACAGCCTTCTCCTTGGTCGACACAGTTCCGATGACGGTGGCTCCGACGGAACTTGCCCACTGACAAACTAAATATCCGACTCCACCGGCAGCCGCGTGGACAAGAACAGTATGCTCACGTTCAACCTGTCATCATCATTATCATCGTTGTTAAATTAATTAAAAGCATATAATCATAAATTATTATATATAATTTTTTAATCAAGATTGTTGTCACCTTAAAGCTACGACGGACCAACACTTGTGCAGTTAATCCCTTAAAGATGACGGAAGCTGCTACAACGGGATCAATGTAAGAAGGAACCGGCACCGCTCGATCTGCCGGAAGTATTCGCTCTTCGGAGTAAGAACCCACGTCCAACACACCGTAAGCCACAAGATCTCCGACTTTGCAGGTGGTTACTCCGGCACCGACTGCTGTTACAACTCCGGCTCCCTCCATACCTGGAATAAATGGCAGAGGAGGGGAGCTTTCATACAGACCTTTACGCATATAAACGTCTAAGAAATTAATTCCAATTGCTTTATGCTTCAACCGGATCTCTCCTTCTTTCGGATCTCCAACTTCCACATCTTCCCATTTCAAGACCTGCAACAAGAATCGTTATTAGTTTTGGATTCAAAGAAAGCTGCAATTAAGTAAAGGAGATAGATAAGGTGAAAGGTGATGACTTCAGGGCCACCGTGTTGACGAACTCGGATTGCTTTGACCATGGTGGTGGTGGGTGTGGATGTCTCTGGTGATAGAAAGCAAGTAAAGATAGGGGGAGAGTGGGTGCTTTATCAGGAGAGGTGAGTATACATGTCAATCATTCGTTGGTTTCTTAAATATTTCTAGTTTAGTCCCTTTAGTTTTGGAAAATCACTATTTTCATCTTTATAATTTACAATTTATTTCTATTTTCGTTTTTCTAAAATTAATGGATTGTTTGTTTATATCTTAATATTTTAATTAAGAGGTAATTTCTGTATCGTTAAAAGGTAAATCTTGTTTAGTAAAAAAAAAGTTTGGTTCTTTATGGTTCTAAAACCCTCTGAATGATTTTGTATCATGAATCTCCCTTAACCATTAAGAGGCCTAATTTCATTATACACAATTTCCAAACAAATATATTTCATTTTGCACTATATCATAAGAGTCTCTTAATCATTCTGACCACTTAATCATTCTGCATCAAACCATTCAACAATTAACAAACAACCCCTAACTCTATTTATATCCTTCGTTAACTTGAAGATATTTAGTCCTTTTGATCTTTTTCTTTATTTTGTTTTACCATTTCCTTTCTCTCCTTATTTTTTATTTTTACGATGAAATAATTAAATAATTTTACTGTGGGAATTCCAAATAATTCTAGAAATTTATGGTGGAATCATTTTAAAAATAAATATAATATAATATAAATTCCGTCACAAGTCTCTCGAAAAATAAATCAAATTTAATATTTTATTTAAAAAAATCAGTGATGGATTTTATCGGTAATCAAATCCACCATTGATTTCTAAGAGAAAGAATCATCGATGAAATTCCTTTTTGATAATATTTTATTATATTATTTTTTATTTATATTAATGTACGTATTTTGATTCTCAACCAACATATCTTTAAAAAGAATCAGTTCTCTCGTTGCACATAGAGGTGGTCCTGTATGGTCATCGAAAAAATTAAAAACCACAACGGGTATTAGGTTAAGAAGTAAACACCTACATTTGACATTTTTAGATCAATACTAGGGTTATAAATCCAACATGTAAGTGGTTAATCAATCCACTGTTTGGTTTATGGTATAACTGTTTCATCATGGTTTTTATACATCTAAATGCATTACAGACCTAACTAATAATAGCGTTGCTTATTTTTAGATTTATTATACGTATTTCGTATAACTAGAATTAATTTTTTTCCAATATATATTTTAATGTTTGTGTATATTTGCATAATTTTGTAAAATGAAAACTAATGTATTAAACTATCAAAATCATTCATATATTCATATATGAATGTGTGAAAATAGTGAAATAGTGGTGGGGGACTGGTCGATGAAAGTAGAAACCAAACATGTGAATATGAATTGAAAACGATACAAACAAAATAATGACATGTATAATTGACCAATCGATTCACGCCCATAAATGCTCACACTATTGTAGCCACATAATTTTGTAAGAAGTCATAACAACATGAACTTAAATTATTAAGTTTGAAATAATACATTATTTATTATTATTTGAATCGTAGTGATTCTTGTATCTGTTATTTATTTGATGATATACATTACTTGTTTGTTTGTTTACCTTTTAATAGTTTCATTAACAGGTAATATTTGAATCGTTAAGAGATTAAATTTGTTCGGCAAAAAAAAAAAAGTCTTTTAATGGTTATAAAACATTCTAAATGATTTTGTATCTTGGGTATCCTTTAACTAGAAGTGTTCATAGGTTGGGTTGAGTTCAAACAATAGTAACTCAATTTCAACTCAATACCTACGATTTGAAAATTTTACAACTTAATTAGATAGTTGCTTCTGATTGAGTTATTTTGTGTTGGATTGGATTCGGTGGTCGGGTTTTTTTAGTACCCTTACCCTTAACCATTGAACACCCTAGTTTCATTTTGAATAATTATCAAACAATTATATTTCATTTAGAACTATATTATAAAAGTCTATTAATCATTCCGACCACTTAATCATTTTATACTAAACCATCAAACAACTGCCAAATAGATGACCAGAGAAGGTGGATGGCTGGTGAACCAAACAAGTGACTGGTGATAAGTCGATAAAGGTGTAGGGTGGTTGGGTTTTATTTTCTCAATGTTATAAGAATTTGTACATTTGTCATAAAGACTTGTACATCATTTCTTAAATAATATAAAAAAAAGACGGGTTTTATAGGTTAAAATGATGTATTTAAATGGTTATAAAAAATCTAATGATTTATTTATTGGAAAAAAAATTAAAAACTCAATTGTTTAAAGTATTAAAGCTCCTTATTTTTATGGACTTTTTCCATATTTGTGACATAAAATGTTGGCAGCAGCACCGACTGTTTGCTTTCCTCTTATGGAGAATCACGTAGCACCACACGTATTGTCCCACTTATCCCTTGTCCGTACAGAATTATAAATATATTCATTTGTGACATGTGACCAAAATAATTTTTAGCAGTTTCCTTTTAAAATATTATTTTCAGATAGATATGATATGTTATTTGAGATTTTCAAACTGTTAATTAGGAGGGTTGGAATTGGATTGAATCTGACTCAATTCATTTAAACTTGTCAACCCATCATTAATATATAATTTTTATAAAATTATATATATATTAATAATATGTAAAATTTTATATATTTTTTTATTGAGATTATGTTTGTATTTCATTTAGGTAAATGTTTATAGGTTATCAAAAGAGATTCACGATCAAAGAATGATAACAAATAATTTAATTAATAAATTGAAATTATTGAAATCATTTTTGCAACAACAACAAATTGATATGTCGAAGAATATGAATGATAATGACAGATATTTGGTTGACGGGTCCATCAATTTAAATACTTCGTCATTTTATGTTGTAATAAGTGGAAAGAAAATGTTTAGTTATAACATTTCACTACAACAACATTAGATCTTATAAGATATCTAAACGTCATAATATGATACTTTGTAGGATGAAACCAAAAAAATGTCTTATCTAATAGAATTACAATATGTTTATAGAATGATTTTGGACGTCTTAACAAATTTTTATAACGTTTTTTAGATAGAGTGTCGTAATAGTTATTTTATACGACATTACTTGAAAAAATATCATATGAACACAAATAACCTATAAATAGATGAGTTTACAGAACACTTCTCAAAATGTTTCTATAAAATGAGTAGATGAAGGTTCAAACGAGAACGTTAACTATTAAAAAAAAGAAAAATATCGTTAATGTACAAAATCACATATGATTTTACATTAAATGGAAGCGGACGACTTTTTGAGGCCACTTAAGTCCCATGATAAAGTAGTCCGGATCATATATGACTAGTTATGTGAATCAAATGTGATTTTGTACATTAACGACATTTTTCTTGTTTTCTTAAATAGTCAACGTTCTCGTTTGATTCTGTCCCAAAATAACTAAAACGACACTTTATGTAAAAAATATTTTAAAGAACTTGTTAAAATGCCAAAAAACGTCCTATAAACCTATTATAATATTTTTTATAAGACGTTTTATAGTTTGATCCTATAAACTTAAGTTTTATGAAGTATTTCATTCATCAAAATTTTGTAACTACTAACCCGTTTCAACCCACAAAAGTTGGGTTGGATTAAGATTTTTTCAAACCATCATAATTGAGTTGAATTATAAAATTGTTGTAAACCGCCCGATCCAACCTATATACACCCATAATAATTAATAAAAAAAACATATCTACATATATTATGAAACATTTAGGGGCTGTTTGGCAGTTGCTGAATGGTTTAGTGCAGAATAGTTAAGAGGTCAGAATGGTTAAGTGCTGAATGAAATAATGTTGTTTGGTAACTGTTCTCTGAATGACGGTAAAATTACCATTTTAACCCTCTGAATGATTTAGTACTGAATGAAATAAAGCTGTTTGGCTGATATCTGAATGAAACAATAATTTTACAAAAATAACTACATATTTCATATTAATCCAAACAAACGTAACATTATTAGTTCGAAACAAGATTTCATATTAGTCCAACCAAACATAATTTTTCAAATTCATGAATAAACAATAAYATAACAATCCAAATTCCAACATAATAGTTTTTAACAATTCTTAATTTGACGGATTTGACATTAATTGATTCGCAATTTGGTCACGTAAATTAGTCATATATTGATTGTTTTGAGTGCCAAAAGGCATTCCATCCATGTCATCTTCATCGCCTCCCTCGATTCCTTCTTGTCCCTCGGCAATAAACATGGRGTCGTTGTCGTAATCCATGAATAACTGATCGTGCAATAGAGGAAACCATTTTATTAAAGAAAACCCCATCTAAAAATAGCAAGATCTAAACAGCAAGTGATAGCATTTTATTAAAGAAAACCCCATCTAAATAGCAACATCTAAACAGCAAGTGATAGCAATCTTCAAAGAAAACCCCATCTAAATAGCAAGATCTAAACAGCAAGTGATAGCAATCTTCAAAGAAAACCCCATCTAAATAGCAAGATCTAAACAGCAAGTGATAGCAATCTTTAAAAAAAAACCATCTAAACAGAGCTTGCTGAGACAAAAGCGATCTAATGGGATAGAACACTAAAGATTTGGCAGACAACTGACTTCAAATGCCTAGAATCAGTAGCTAATGCACATGATGATGCAATAAATGCACTTGCATTATCGAGCAATGGGGATGTTTATAGTGGATCTACTGACAAGAAAATAAAACTTTGGAGGAAATCACCAGAAAGTAAGAACCACTCTCTGGTCAATACGCTAAACAAACACAAATCTGGTATTAAACAGAAGCGAGACAAATCTTGTAGTTGCACTTTTAAGGAATTACATCCATGTGGTTGCATTCTTTTTGATAAGTTTGGCCCTAAATAAATGAACGACCTAGGTCCCAATAAAAAGATGCTCAAGATAAGGACAGGTTTCCATGGTGGAGTCTTTTGACCGATGCCAATGGGAAGGAGGGCTGGTGCAAACCTCCGATGCGACCTTGTTCATAGAGTTTGGGAGATTCACGTTTTTGTTGTGTTGTTCAGGACGAGGTCGGAAGGTTTATTCGGGTGAAGAGAACAAGTCGACGAGGGATGGTGCAGCCAGCATTAGCGGAAGCAATCGGTCTCAAGGAAGCATTGAGTTGGATTAACAATACAAGCTGGAGGTAGATGGTGGTGGAAATGGACTCTCTTGTCGTGATTCTAGCCCTTCGAAGTATTATGGAACTGAGACACGACTTAGGTTGTTGTAAAAATACAACTACAGAGACACGACATGTAATTTACTATAAAAATAACCGTTTTTCTTTCTATTTTAGAATAAAAAACAAATTTTGATTATATTTTGTTGCTTAATTTAGAAAGGGGTTGGTTGTCAAATTCCAATTATAAGTTGAAGAAGAAGGAAGCGTATTAATGAATAAAGTAAAAGTAAAATGGTAGCCACATACAGAAAGCTGCCCAATAATAATTCACATCCATCTACCTCTCCTGCTATTAAACCGCACTCTCCAGACCAAAACCAACTATCTCACTCCACACCCACAACCACCATGGTCAAAGCAATCATAGTTCATCAGCACGGTGGCCCTGAGGTGCATCTTCATCTTCATCTTCATCTCTGTAATTTCTTCGTTTCCACCCAAACTAATCTAATAATTTGTTGCAGGCCTTGAAATATGAAGATGTTGAACTTGGAGAACCGAAAGAAGGACAAATCAGGTTGAAACATAAAGCAATTGGTCTGAATTTCTTAGACGTTTATATGCGTAAGGGTCTTTACAACACCTCTCCGCCATTGCCGTATACTCCAGGTTTGGAAGGATCTGGAGTTGTAACAGCCGTCGGTCCCGGAGTAACCACCTGCAAAGTCGGAGATCTTGTGGCTTACGGTACGTTACCGGTGGGTGCTTATGCAGAAGAACGATTACTTCCGGCAGATCGAGCCGTGCCGGTTCCTTCCGGCGTTGATGCCGTTCAAGCGGCTTCTGTTATCTTTAAGGGATTAACTGCACAAGTCTTGATCCGTAGCAGTTTTAAGGTGATATATACAGATCTTGATTAAGGGTTTCTTAATTTATGATTCATATGTGATTATAGTTTTAATGATGATGAATTACGACAGGTTGAACGTGGGCATACCATTCTTGTGCATGCTGCCGCCGGTGGGGTTGGATCTTTATTGTGTCAATGGACAAATGCCATCGGAGCTACGGTCATCGGAACTGTGTCGACCAAAGAGAAGGCTGTTCAGGCGAAAGAAGATGGATGTCATCATGTGATTCTTTACAAAGATGAGAACTTTGTGGATCGTGTGATGGAGATAACTTCCGGCAAAGGGGTGGATGCAGTCTACGAATCCATCGGAAAAGACACCTTCAAAGTAAGTAATCAAGATTGTCTAACAGAGTTCCACATATACCGATCATATGGTATCAGTGTCTAGGTCTACTATTGTAGGAACTTGACACCCCTGGCCATTGGCTTGCCCCCACCCGTCTAGCCCCCTACCAACACTGTGAGATCAACTGTGTCCGTCTAGCTTTTGTTGGAGAGGGTGTTTGCGGGTTTACTTCAAAAAAAATATATAACTAATGATATCTATGTGTTTTAAATTGAAAAGGGGTCATTTGAGGTCTTAAAGAAGCGTGGATATATGGTGCAATTTGGGATGGCTTCAGGTGAACCAGATCCGATTCCGTCTTCCACACTTTCTGGCAAAGCGCTCTTCTATACATTTTCTGCGATGGGGGTATACACCGAGGAAAGGCATGAACTACTTGCAGCCGCTGAAGATTTGTTCACGAATGTAGCAAACGGAGTCTTGAAGATTCGTGTTAATCATAAGTACCCGTTGTCTCAAGCAGCGCAAGCTCATACCGATCTCGAGGCTCGAAAAACGACAGGTTCGGTTGTGTTGATACCGGATGGGGAGTGATTAATTTCATGGTGTTGGATGTTTTAGTTTATTGTGTAATGTGTTAGAGATGAATCCATCTATGTTTTCTTTGTGGTAATCGTTTGTAATAATTACCGATGCAGGTAAAGCGTTGTTAAATTCATCTTATATTATTATTGCTAACACGGGCTATGTAGTGGTGGTCCGGTCAAGTGGTATAAAAGCCAAAGAATTTTAATACGTGTTTCCAAGATTCTGGAGAGTGGTCGTCTTTAAATTTGTGGTTCTGAAGATGATGGGTTTTTTTTTAAAATTTGATAGACTTATCTGTATCTTTTAATATATTTTTTAAATTAAAAATACAATTAATAAACATTTATATGGTTTTATTTTAGTAGTAAAGATATACAAAATAGATAAAATAAACATATATTTTTCCAGTTACAAATTTAAAAAGGCTAGTTTGTTCTTTCAAGGTGAGATACTCAACGGCTAAAGTAGAGGAAAAACTTTAGGGGTCATTATTAAACAATAACGAAAATTAGGGGCCAATATGGTACAAACTATAAATGCAAGGACCATATATCAAATTTGAAATGAACATACATCTTTGTGTTCAAGGTGGGAAATCTGGAATAGAGCCCCATCTTTTGGAAATTTACAGAAATAACGGATAAACAAATAGGATTTCATTTTTAGGTATTTCTTGATTTAAAGTTATTTTCTAGTTATGTTAAAAAAAATAAAAAATTAAAATTAAAATTCAAAATGTTTTAAAAAAATTATACTTAACTTCAATAGCTATTTTGTTTTAACAATTATAATATTACCTATATTATTAAAACTAGAAAGGTATTCATGCAATGCAACAAGATGTATTTTGATTTTAATATTTTGTTTTATTTCTTCTTTATAGATGTTATAATACGGTTTATGTGGTTTTGAGAAAGAGAAAATGTTTTTATTTTTGAATAAAATATAAATGTAAAAATATCATAAAATTTCAAAATAAATGTATCAGTATCAAATTAACTATTTGAAAGTTCTTGTTTTTTTTTTGTGTAATTTCTTTAATTCAATTTTTTTATTATAATTTAATTTTGATTTAATAACGAAGTAATATATTTTTTATTTAATAATATAATTTTTGTTAAGTATAAGAATTAAGTATTCTGTTAAAACTCAATAATTATTCTAATTATATTTTAGATTTTTTATATTTAAAATGAAATGTTTATCTTTTATTTGACTACGTTTATTTGTAGTTAATCACACGAATTTAAACATGAAACTTTAATAAGTTATACTTACGCATAATTTATTTGTAATATTGAATTTTAAGTAATATGTATAAAAAATGATTTTTAAAAGTTTTTGTTAAATACTTTATAATATAGTATACATATTCAAATCATTTAATAAAATATTATTACTAATACCTCCTAGGGAAAATATTATTATAATAATTTTTATTTAAAAATTTCTTTAAATTTATAGATTTTTATAAAAAACTGCTAACTATAAGGATGGTGTTCAATTGGTTTGTGCTTGAGCTTCAAAGGTCAAAAGTATTTAGATGACTTATGTTCGAATTCAAACAAGAATAAAAGTCTCCGTGTAGTTATGAAAGTTCAAATATGATGATTTCAGGCCAACCGCAAAACAAATGATTACTCTAAGATTAGTTGTCTTGCACAACAAGTTGGATATCCAGATTAATCAAACTTTTTTTTATATATTAAAACTCTTTTTTTTTTCTCGATTTTAACGTACACATACTCTTAACCTTCTAGGCCTAGAAAATAAATTTAGATTAAAAAATGTCAAAAAAAAAAGAAAAACATCTGTAACTTTTGGATATTTCGATGAATTTTACTCGAATTTTCCGTCTGCCAACTCGTACCTCCTTTTTGAAGCAAGAATTTGGTTCGATTCACAATCTCCGATCAAGCTTCCCTTCTTGTTGATCTGGAAAGGCTACTCAGACTCAATTCCACTGCTAAAGACCGTAACCCCTGCTGATTTCAACAACTAACAATGGTGAAAGCCATTAGGGTTTATGAGCTTGGTGGCCCTGAGGTTTAATCATCTCTTTGATCTCCCCCAATGTGTTTTCTTGTGTGGTTCGTGTTAAATTATATGGAAAGACAATCATAATCGTTTAAACTACTCTCAACCGATGTCGTATTTCAGTCATCGTTTGTAGAAGTTCACTTGACTCGATAACCCTTTTAATTTCCTTGTTCAAATTCAGGGTTTATGATGCCTTACCTTCGTTGTTTATTCTTCAATCGTCTATAAAATTCTTCTGGAATCGAATCCGTCTAAATCATCTGCAAATTTTGAAGCATTATTCTCCTTAGTTTATCTGGTGTGGAAGAACTAGAACGGTTTTGTTGTGTTTGTGCATGCTGCTGAAGAAAATGGTTTTACAGGTATTGAAATGGGAGGATGTTGAAATTGGGGATCCTAAAGAAGGAGAGATAAGAGTGAAGAACAGGGCCATTGGTGTTAACTTCATTGATATATATTTCCGTACTGGAGTTTATAAAATGCCTGAAATCCCTTATACACCAGGTTTGTCTTCTGAATTCATGAATATTTACCCATCTGCTACACAGTAGAATTATCACTAGGGTGCGTTTGCTACACTGGTCTAGACAGAACAGAAGATGGATCATTGTTCCATATCTAATAGGACTTTTACACGGAACAGACCGGAGCAAAGTGGATTAGGGGAGTTCCACCCTAACCCATGCCCGCTGGACAAATGTCTTGTCCTGTTCAATCCAGTCATCTTGTTTGGATAACAAACGCATCCTTAAAGATCGTCAATGAAAACTCAAGATTTGCCAAAAAAGAAATATGAACGGGTAGTGTTGAGGTGATACGAGATGAAGTTTTGCAGGGGTGGAGGCGGCAGGCGTGGTGACGGCAGTTGGGCCGGGAGTAACCAATTGGAAAATTGGAGATGCCGTTTATCATTCCGGGAGTGCGATGGGAACTTATACAGAGGAGCAGATTGTTTTAGCAGATAAAGCAATGCCTCTTCCTCCTATTGATCCTTTAGTAGTTGCATCTGTCATGGCTAAAGGACTAACTGCTCGTTTCCTTGTTCGAACTTGGTTCAAGGTAAGATGAACGATTGCTTTAAATATCATCAAAGAATGTTTATATGTTGTTTGCTAGATTGGCATACCAAGATCTCGACATAAATTACCAATTCAAGATTGTGAAACCATTGGCAAATAAAGGCGAGACCTTGGGCCTCGGCCCATAGGACGTCAGCAGGGACACTGAGGATTTTTCTGGCTGTTATCTGTGGGCCTCGTGGGTTTTTATCTAATTATCTTGAAAGAGGCAAGTCTTGTATGTAGGTAGAAAAAGGACATACAGTACTCATCCATGCAGCAGCAGGTGGCGTTGGATCTTTGTTATGCCAATGGGCAAATATGCTCGGTGCCACCGTTATCGGAACTGTATCAACGATAGAGAAGGCTTTGCAAGCCAAAGAAGATGGATGTCATCACGTTATCATTTATAAGGAAGAGGATTTCGTTACTCGTGTTGATGAGATAACATCTGGAGGTGGAGTTGACGTTGTCTTCGATTCTGTAGGAAAAGATACCTTTCAGGTAACCCGGATCCTCTCTTCCTTCTCTTGTATTCAATATCAGCTTTAACACAACTAAAATCAAACCAAACGAACACTGTATATCCCATCCCACCGGAGGTGGGATGATGTACGTAGAGATGACATCTACACTGAAGAGCAGAGATCTAGTTTAAGGGGCTATTTGGTTGGCTTCTCATGAAGTCCTGAATGGATAAAGTTGTATGTGTGTATTAATCTGTCTGTGTAGATTTGGACAGTTTTTGTTTTGGGTTTTGGGGGGGGGGGTTCATAGATGGAAGGAATGTGCTTTTTAATTGAGAGGGACAGTTTAGGAAGAAAACTTGACTTTGTGTATAAAGCTCGCCTTACAAGTTTACTAAATAAGCCACATTCTATATCATTAAGCCACTACCAAATAGTCATGTATAGCTAACCAAGTAAGCTATGAGTCTCATTAAGCCCATTAAGCTGCTAACAAACAAACCCTAACACAGTCACAACACTTATTTGGTATTCTTGATTATTGAGGTTCAGGTTTTAATTAGTGATAACGTTTCTTGTTTAGGGATCGTTGGCATGCTTGAAACCTTGTGGATATATGGTCAGCTATGGTCAATCTTCTGGGACACCTGACCCCGTACCTTTATCTGTGCTGGCAGCAAAATCACTATTCTTGACGAGGCCTTCACTGAGGACATCTCGTATATCAAGGGAGGAGTTGCGTGAAGCTACCAATGAGGTACTTACGAATGTGGCTTCTGGTGCTTTGCGGGTTCGTGTAAATCATACTTACCAGTTATCCCAAGCTGCTCAAGCGCATGCTGACCTGGCAGGTCGAAAAACTTCAGGGTCCATCGTGCTTGTACCCGACGGAGCGGAAAAGTGAAGTTTATGGCATTTGCAGTTTCGAATTCCCTTTACACTTGGATTCCATGGAAGAATTGATGCAAGTTTGTGTAATGACCGTATTATCGTATGTGATCAAATGTTATATAGTATCACTCTCTTGAGAGAGGATTTGCTCAAAAGTGCAGATGTAAATTGAAATAAGAACATCAACAATATAGGAAACTGGATAAGCTGATGGCTATAAACAAACCGAATGAAAGATGCATGGAGACTTGTTTATGTTCGTTCATTTAACTTAACCGAACAAACTGGATGGTGAACGAACGAAATGTTCCTGTGTTAAGAAAATGTGTTTATTCATGTTTATTTATAATATGATTTTGTCTGATTTTAATAAAATGATAATATTTTAAATAAAATACAACTATAGAAACATAAAAAGAATATATTTTTAATTGATATAGAATTTTCCGGTTTCACACGGAACGGACCCGTAGAAATGATTCCGGTCGAGGGTTTACATCACTCATCTGTTGTACTTCTGTTCTCTTTCTTCACAGCTTTCTCCGGCAGCCCCTGACACCGCCGACGTCAATTCTCAACGTTGTAGAATATTATGGAGACCCTCGACTCCTCGAGGCCAATCATGTAGACTTTCTTAAGTATGCATATAGTTTTGTATGCAAAATATGGAGAAATTAATAGAAATAGTCATTTTCAAGATCAAATTCATCTCTTAGGGGTTGTTTCATTTGTTTGTTTACTTCTTAATAGTTTCATTAAGAGACAAACTCTGAATCAATACGACTTACAAGATGAATTTTGTTTCATAAAAAAAAAGTCTGTCTCTTAATAGTTTTAAAACCATAAATTTTGTATCATGTGCCTCCTTTAACCATTACCAAACAATTATATTTCATTTTGCACTATATTATGAGAGCCTTTTAATCATTCTGACTACTTAATCGTTCTGTATCAAACCATTCATCAATTGCCAAACAGCCCATTGGTCATTTCTCTCCGAAAACTTCAAAAATATTACATACCATCGTAAGTGGCACCTCCTCAATTTGCAGAGGGGTTAAAATGTTTAAAACATAAGTTTTTGAACATGATCTTCAAATATATGAACCTATATTTGCAGATCATGTTTAGAAACTTATTATTTACATTTTGATCTCTCCGTAAATTGAGAAGGTGTCGGTTTTGGAAGTAGTGATTTTTTAGAAATTTTAAAAGAAAGAAATGAATTTGGTCCAAAAATAACTATTTCGTTTAATTTCCGTAAAATATATTGTTAGTGTACCTCAATTGCTTCCATGTTACTATTTATTGAAATATAAATATTTTTTATTCAATATTTATGTCTTACCAAATAAAATGAGTTATAAGACTATTTTTTAATGATAAGAACATAACACCTCTTACCGTTTTTATCAATATATTATAATATTATTGATAGACCAATTAAAAATGGATTTTTTTAATTAATCTGGATATCCAACTCGTTATGTGAGCCCAATAATTCCAACACGACATCTTTCTTTGTAGATAGCCTGGAGTCACCGTATTTGAACCTTCGTGTTCATAAGAGAATTTTTATTCCTCCTTAGATTTAAATCTGGAAACTCCTGGTATTTTAAAAAATGGTTTTTTATCAATATATATCATAATGGAATGTATTGTAATTTTATGAAACAAACGTTTTTTTTTCTTATGATTTATTCGAATTTAACTCATTTTGATCTTTAATAATTTTTTTTAAAATAAAAATATTTAATAATATAATAAATATTGAAATTACGGTGTGTCGTGTACCTAGGGGTGCTAAACAACCCGACTAACCCAACCAACCCGATCAACCCAACCCAACCCAATGCGAAATAACCCAACCCGAAGCAACCCGATGTCTTATCGAGTTGTAAAATTATCAAACCGTAGGTATTGAGTTACTATTATTTGAACCCAACCCAACCCGATGAATCCGATGACCCCGATATCCTTTTATTTCTTGGATTTAATATGATTGTTGAATTTCTGTTAATATATACATTAGACAATTACACTATCATGTATGTTTTTCATATATACATATTTTCAATCTATTTATATCTCTATATAACTCATTCAGTAACTGTGAACATATATATGTAAATTGAGAAAATTAATTTAATGTGATATACGTAAAAAATATGAATAAGTTGTATCAAATGGTTGATGATGAAAAAGAAATTATAAGCAGAGAAATAACATATTCAAGGTTAGAAGAATATTTTAATATACCAAAGTGTCAATCCGACCAACCCGTACGGGTTGGGTTAGGTTGCACTTTGGTTTGGGTTGGATTGGTTTAAGATTTTTCCAAACCACAAATATTAAATTGGATTGTTCAAATGTCCTCAACCAATGAACATAAACAACCATAAGTGTACCCACTCCAAGAAATATATTTTTTTTAAAGAAGAAAGGATCACGAGAGGCTGGGACACGTTTTTAAAAAAAAGTTTGCGCGGAGAGACTCTGAAGCTTGGAGCTTCTGTCCAGCAGCGCCCAGTTCTCTCGACTCTCGCTCTTCAGTCATTTCCATATAATCTTGTTATATAAACTATCAAGAGACGATTAAAAAGAAAACCGACCGTTGCAGTTTCTTCTCATTAGGATTCAGGAGACACCCAAAAACACCATGGTCAAAGCAATTAGATAATCTTTGCATGGGAACTTCTAAATACCAACATCTGACGTGTTTATCTGATCACTATGCTTCTCTGATTCAAAGAACCCTGGTTAACAATGATCCATGTGCGGGGAAAGCGATTCATGCTCAAATAATCAAGTCGGGTCTTCATCTTGGTGTGTTCCTCATGAACAATCTGATGAATTTGTATGCCAAAAAAGGGTTTCTTGAAGATGCCACTGGGTTGTTTGATGAAATGCCTGTTAGGAATGCATCTTCGTGGAATACGATTATCTCTGCCTATGCGAAACAGGGAAGGATAGATTATGCACGCCGTCTGTTTGTAGAAATGCCTGAACCAGATTCTGTCTCATGGACTGCGATGATGGTGGGTTACAATCAGATGGGTCGTTTTGAAAATGCTATCAAGATGTTCATTGACATGATATCTTCCAATATAATGCCGACGCAGTACACATTTACCATTATTCTTGCCTCATGTGCTGCGATGAAGTCCTTAGAAATTGGCAGGAAAGTTCACTCGTTTATTGTTAAAGTTGGACTCAGTAGCTATACTAGTGTTGCAAATTCTCTGCTAAACATGTATGTGAAATCAGGTGATGTGTTGATGGCTGAATCTGTGTTCGGTAGGATGAAATTGAAGAGCACGTCAAGTTGGAATACGTTGATAGCAATGCATATGCAATGTAGGCGGTTTGATCTTGCACTCACTCAATTTGAGCAAATGACTGATCGGGATGTAGTTACATGGAATTCAATGATTTCTGGTTACAATCAGCATGGTCTCGATATTGAAGCTCTTGATATGTTCTGTAATATGTTAAAGAATCAAGTACTAAAGCCAGATAGATATACCTTAGCAAGTGTTTTATCTGCCTGTGCAAATCTTGATGACTTAAACTCGGGGAAACAAATTCATGGCCACATTATCAGAACTGAATTTGACTTATCTGGGGCTGTTGGAAATGCTTTGATTTCCATGTACGCTAAGCTTGGCTATGTCAAGAAAGCTCAAAAGATTGTAGAACAAAATCGGATTTCGAATCTAAACATAATAGCATTTACAGCTCTGTTAGATGGATACGTTAAACAAGGGGACATGAACTTGGCCAGACAAATATTTGATTCTTTAAGGGATTGTGATGTAGTAGCATGGACAGCTATGATTGTTGGCTATATGCAAAATGGATTCAACAATGAGGCAATGGATCTCTTTAGATCGATGATCAGAGGAGGCCTAGAACCTAACAGCTACACTTTAGCAGCTATGTTGAGTGTAAGTTCGAGCCTAGCTTCTCTGGACCATGGTAAACAAATTCATGCAAGAGCCATAAAATCCGCAGCTGCACCATCTGTTTCTGTAAGTAATGCGTTGATTACCATGTATGCCAAATCTGGAAACATTAGTAACGCCCAACGTGTGTTTGAGCTGATAAGTTGTTTAAGAGATACTGTCTCGTGGACATCCATGGTCATTTCTTTAGCTCAGCATGGCCATGGAGCAGAATCATTGGAATTGTTTGAAAAAATGTTGAGTCTTGATATAAACCCTGATCATATAACTTATGTTGGAGTAATTTCGGCCTGCACCCATATGGGATTGGTTGAAGAAGGTCGTTGGTACTTCAAATTGATGCAAGAAAAACATGGGATTGAACCCACCGCTAGCCACTATGCGTGCATGATTGACCTGTTAGGACGTGCAGGAAAACTTCAAGAAGCATGGGATGTGATACAAAAGATGCCAATTGAACCAGATGTTATAGCTTGGGGTTCGCTTTTAGCTTCTAGTTTTGTTCACAAAAACATGGAGCTTGCAAAAGTTGCAGCCGAGAGGCTGCTGCTAATTGAACCCGATAACAGTGGAGCCTACTCAGCCCTAGCCAACGTCTACTCTGCTTGTGGGAATTGGGAGGATGCTGCTGAAATTAGAAGATCAATGAGGTTTAGACAAGTGAAGAAAGATCAAGGGTTTAGTTGGGTTCAGATAAGGAACCAAGTTCATGTGTTTGGAGCTGAAGACAGTGTTCATCCCGAGAGAGAAGAAATCTATCTGATGATGGCAGAGATTTGGAAGGAAATCAAGAAACTAGGCTTTGTCCCGAAAACCGAAGCTGTGTTGCATGATCTTGATGAAGAGGTGAAAGAGCAGATACTTATGCATCATAGCGAAAAGCTTGCTATTGCGTTTGCGCTAATGAAGACTCCTAAGAACAGTGCTTTGAGGATCATGAAGAACCTGAGGGTATGTAAAGATTGTCACTCGGCCATCAAATTCATTTCGAAACTTGTTGGTAGGGAAATTGTTGTTAGAGATGCAACTCGGTTTCATCATTTCAAAGATGGTGCATGCTCCTGTCGAGATTACTGGTAGCTATGGCTTGATACATTGTGAACGATGCTCAATTGGCCTTTGGTCATGTTTGGTAAAAAGAGGGTCTATATGCACAAAAGGACCATACGTGGTGAACAATGCTTAATTGGCCTTGATCTAGTAGTTGCGGAAACAATCACTATACTCTTTGGTGTAGAAGGTATGTTAACGTACATCTCAACCACCAGACCCTACATCCGAATATCGTATATTGCGTTTTTTATTGCAATTCAATATTACTTCTATTTCTTGTGTAGTTGAAATTTCTTTTTTTATAAAAGTAGAAACTCGTCTACTTCAGATCTAAAAATTTATCCCATCTATGTCTAACTTGAAATTTTCTGTGTTATATGTAACTTTGCTGGCTAGTATCTAACCTGATCATATCCTGCATTTGTATTTCTAATATTATTGCTCTACTTTTGATCGGGTCAGAAATTGATTTGCTAAGCACCACTGATATATCTATACCCCTTTATAAAAGGTGAGTTATGGTTATCTTGAAATTTTTAGAAGGTCCAATTTTTTAAGCAACTGGTTGATAGAGGTTGCCTTGTTTTCCTTTTTGCGGGTCACTCTTGAACCTCCCTTTATGGCTATATATAGATTTTCCACTTGTATTAGGATTCAAGATATCAAGAAAAATGCTGTTTTCTGGTGTAAACATCGGCATGAATCATATGATAATAGGCTATGATTACCGGAGAGAGTGAGATTATAAGAAAATGGGGTTTGAGGCTTTCAGCATGCTTTTTTTTGCTTTGACTTGTAAGGACCTTGCCTTTTTCAAATCCTAGAAAGTAGAAAGGAAGTCAGTCAAAAAAAGATATGCTTCAGGATCAACTGATGCAAAAAAAACCTTTTCTCCTTGGGGAACAACAAATGTCATATTTCTGAAAAATGAAATAAGTAGTGTTCACTCTGTAAATGAACCCTTGGTCTTTGCTGCAAATTGCCTGAACCTCTAGAGGTTTAAGCAAGAACTTTCCGAAAGGAATCTACCCGTCAATGGATGATTACAGATGTAATCTTTTCTAGGATTTTGAATCGGACTTATGCTTATATTTGGAAAATCCCTACTTCTTTGAGAACTGGTGGAATTCTATAATGTAGGGCTCTAGTATTCAAAATGAATTCCTTATTAGATTTTCCAGCAAGTGTAAATGTGAGCAAAAATTAAATTGAACTTTTGTAGCTGCTCTACTCTTTGGGATAGATAGCCCGCCTACATCCCACCCCCAAACTTTACTTTTGAGTGAGATATACTCGGTCAGACTGTTTTAGCTTTGCTGATAAATGTGTAATCCTACTAGCACTTTGACTCTAATCCGAACAAATACATCCTTTCTTGCTGTTGGAGAACTGAACAGGATCCAATGATGCTGTTTTTGTAGTTTAAATGTTGAAAAGATTTATGATTTGGAAACATGAATCTTGATTCTTGAAGTATTCTTTGAGTAGGTTGATGAGGAGGCATATTCTGCAGAGATTGGGAAATTTGACATGTTTGTGTTTAATGTTGGTTTAGGCAATTATACAAGAATGACTATATTAGTTCAATCACTTGAAATCTTGATAGCTTTCTTGATCTGCTTCTAGCTTAATTGTAGAGAAATGAATTCTATGACTATGATTCAAATTCTTATGATTTTGATTAAGGTAACACCTTTATATTTTGCTGATTCCTTCTAAGATCAAGCATTGAAAATGGTATATTGGGTGCGATATAATTGACGAGGGAAGTTTTTGAATGATCCTTTCTTGCCAAGTCGAAAGTGGTTTATACCCATGAGTCCAATGTCTTCTAAAGACCAAAATGGCTAGAACCCATGACCTTATCCCATTTGTTTGTCCACTTTTCGCTACTGGTTTTTTAGGGACATGGAAGGTCAATTGTCCATGGTAATGGTGGAATACTGGTTGCAACAGGCAAGTCATTTCAGTTCGCTACGCTTGTCTCAGTTGGGTTTCTTCACAAAGGATCTGCCCACCCCAAACAATGCAAATTCTTATGGTGAATTCACATGTTCCTATGTGTTAAGGCCCACAAATTAAAATTCTAATACGTAGTTGGATTAATTCTATTTTCAGGATTATTTATTCTGGACAACAGTTAATGAAAAATATGCAGTTGCTCCTTGCAAGTGATTGAATCACTTTGTAAGTTATCTTCCTTCCAGAACTTCTAATACTCTCTCATAGCCAGTACATCCCCTTGTTACAAAAGCCATATCCGTACCTTCAATCTCCTCTAATGATCACCTATTGATAACATGATTTATGGTTGCTCGAGTCATATGTGAGACAAAAGAAGCTTTAACACAGGAAACTGAAACTATGTTTCACCTATTGTGATAAGGGGCCATAGAGCTTTAAGGTATGAAATGTGCCTGTTGATGGAAAAACTGGGAAATTGAGGATGTTCTAGGTCCTGATTTTGATGAATCAGTAATCGAGCGTGTTGCACCTGTAAGCCATATGACATTTTTTTAAGCAATGAACTTAGGGATAACTTGCTCAATTGTTTTGCTAGCATGGTTCTTGTTGGTTATGTGTTTATCTTATTTAGACAGGAATTTTAATGTTTGTTTTACAATATTCAAGTTAACATTTGACAGCTCAACAAGGTTTATGGGGGATTATATTTGGTGAGAGCTGACAGAAAGATCACATGTGACTACACTTTGAAACAGAGGGTGGATGTTCAAACAAGAAAAAGATTGATACTCAAATTGTGTTTGGCTGATGTTTTCCACTCTGTTGGTGACTGATAGCTCCTGCATGATATATGGAATCATGGGCATTCTTGGCCATCTTCTTGAAATCCAAGTAAGTTTGTCTATTGAAGAACTGAATAATTTTTGTACTTGTTTCTATATGTTTTAAATATGAAATATGGCACATTTTTGTAGTGGGTTGTTGCTAGAATTTGAATATTGAACTGCTATTCACTGTGCTTCCATAATTTTTTTCTGTCACATATAATTGGCATGGTATAGGATTCTTCGATTAGCTTTGTACCCATTTTTTATAGCTCATTCATTGCTTACTTCAGGAATGCCCATTGATGTGTTGTTCACAACCTTTAGAATGAAAGATTGTGAAGATGACATTATGATAGAATTGGAATATTACAAATCGGTGAAGATGCAAAATCGCTCAGGGCTACATGTGCGTTCCCCAATCTAATGATGCACTTGAAAGTTGGTACTAAGATCTCAGCCAATAATGCATGGCTCCCTTTTCTAACACCAAAAACTTCATCTGGCCTGTCGGGCCGTAGCCAAAAGGACAATGAATGGAGCTATCGTAATTTATTAGAGTTTGTCTTTTGAGCAAATCCTTTTGGATAGATAGGAATATGTGACATAAAAGATGAATTGGTTATGAGTACATGAGTTAAGCAAGGTTTATTGTATCTTTTGTCTTGTGCCCTTTTACATTCACAACCTAACTGTTTTTTCTGGAAAACCATAAAGGTTTTAAAATTCTTAATTAAGGCAAATGAGAAATCCTTTACATCTGTTGCATCGTGCGGATACTGTTAAGAGATGAACTTTTTGTATTTTTAAAGGTTGAATTCACTTTTTGATATATGCAACTTAATGAGTTTATCGATCTGGACGGTTTATTCTTTCTACCATACACGAGTCTTTCTTTACGACTTTACTGTTAGGTCATTAAGCCAAAATATGTATATGGGATAAGCCAGGACCCTCAATTGTCCCCCATTAAGCCACCTCAACCAAAATATGTATATGGGATAAGCCAAGACCCTCAATCCAACCCTTCCTCAAACAAGGGGCCGACCTATTATATCCAGAGTGAGGTTCCATGTACCCACTCGATCTTATTTTGTAAGGAAATATTTTGGATACGGGAATACAATGAACATCAACCAAAAAATATTTCGAAATCAAGTAAAGAAAATCGAAAACGTCCCTCAAAATCAATTAAAAACTTTAAAAATATCTTGAAATCAACCTAAAAACTTAAAAGATCTTTTGAAATTAACCAAAAAACTTTAAAAAATTCCTCGAAATAGTGAAATTTGGCTAAAAGCACATAGAACGGTTTTATTGGTCTTTGATCTACTTTAAAGGTGTCTTGTTCATTAATAATCTTGGGTCCACCGCTACCTCAAACCATTGGTCTCTACTTTTTTTATTGTTGAAAAGCGATAAATTGTTTATTTAAATAATTATATATATGAAGGACGTTAAAAGAATCACCATAGCGTAGTGGAAAGTTCTCTTTTGTATACTTGGTTTTCCCGAGTTCGAATCCCTTAGCGTCCTCTTTTTGTTTTCTTGATCTTCGTTTCAAACCCTAACAATAGATTCTTCGTCGTCGTCCTGTTTTTTGTCAGATCTCCGGCCAACATCTCACCTCCGTTATCAATCTCCGGGAAGCAGTGTCCATGGATATAGATCCACCAGCACCGCCATCTTCAAAACCCAAGAAGGTCTCAACTCTCAACACCACTTCTGTTTATTCTTTAATCTTCAATCATTTTATGTTTTCATCTCAGATCTGAATCAAAAATATTAGAGTTAACAAACAACGATCAGAATCTAATGAGTACTCAATTTTACAGCTAAAATTCAACCCCAAACCACCGCCTCGCAGGAAAACCGGTCCTCTCTTGCCTAAAAGTAAAAGGTGTGTTTTCTGTGTGCAATTTTGGATTATTTTCTACACTTTTATCGTTTATGTTTCACGTAATTATTAGTATGCGATCCTTGTCGTTGTCGTAGTTCTGAAAATTAAGTTTGTGATTTGTGCAGTGATAGTAGTGATGAAGATGCTGAAGCCGCTCGGGAATTCGTCCGCGAAGTCAATGTAATCTCTCTCCTGATTTTCAGTTAAATCCAATTTTTAAGATGCGCTGAAATGATCTTAATATTTTGACAAATCGATCGCTTGAATCCTATGTCTTATTTCGCTCATGATCTTACGAAACCAAGTGGATCACGTAAATTTTGATATTGTTCTCCTTTATAACGAGTCTCGTTATTTTTTTCGTTTATATTTGATATTTTGTATGCAACTAGACCGGTTGGTTGAAAATAAAAAAAAACATGTTAGAAAGAATAATTTAGGGGCTGTTTTTTGCGTTAAGTCCTGAATAAGAAAAGTTATTTGTCTCGAACTCTTGATAAATTTGTCTGTGAGACCGGTGGGTTTGACCGTTTGAGGGAGGCAAGAGATAACGTGGGATTATTTTTAGGGCTTTTCCTTTTCTCGTATTAATTTGTTTGTGGTGGTCAATTAAGGTCAAGTCGGGGGGTTAGGGTCTAGACTTAAATTGGTTATTTGGTTGTTTTTCTATTAAGTTCGGCATAAATTAACTTGTTTGGGTAGGGATTGGAAGGGTTTTTGTTTTGGGAGGGTTTTTTCCATAGACGGGAGGGTGTTTTTTTAATTGGAAGGGACATGTTTGGTCGAAACGTGGCTTTCTAAATAAAGCTTCTTCTAGAAGTTTACTGAATAAGCTACTTTATATCATTAAGTCACTACCAAATAAACATTTTTCGTTTCCTTTCTCTGAACATAAAACTTTGTTTTCTTCTCTTTCATTTCCTTCCTTCTCAAGAACTAATATAATGGGTCTTTCTTTTCCTTTCTTTTCTTTCCCATTCTTTTCTTTTCTTCTTAAATTCGAGAAAACAGGGTTAACGATTAAGCCGTAAAGAAACACTCTTGTAAAACTAAATGAATAAAACTCGGAGCATGTTTGATTTTTTATAATTTATCCAAATTCGCTCATTTTTTGTGATAAGTTTGATCTTTTTTCGGTAGTCATTTAAGAGAACATCATTTATTCTTTGTATTGGGTAGTTTTTTCATGATTACCAAGGGATGGTATGCTTAAATCTCAATATCACCGTAAGGGGTGTGTTAGCGAATTAACAACAAATATTCACCTTTATGGATGTAATTTGAGGGTCATTCTAAAATAATCCCACCTGTTCGTACATATTTTTTGGTAATTTTACAAGTATTATCATGAACCTGCCTTCGCCATTGTTTTGAACAATTGGCCTCCTTTATGCTACGTCTCTACCGTATGGATTCCGAAGATGTATCTTCCATGTTGTGTATAGTCAAATTGTTGATTTTTGATCTCACATTTACATATTCATCTGGCTTATTGCATATAATTTGTTGGTTATATTGTTTGTCTCATGCAGCAACGCCTCTGCGGCACAAGAGGGCCTAAAGTCGAAAAGAAATGTAATTATTTCAAAACCCCTTTTATATTGCAATCAAGCATGAGACTGTACAGTTTTCTTTTTAGTATGGATTTGCTAAGATCCAACATGCAGCTTCAGGCGATGGTGCAATGTCGTTGGGAGATGGATCATCAACAACTCAGCTGAGGACTCATGGCCAGCCAAAAGATAGGAACACCAAGAACAGTCTGAATTTGAGAGAGTCTGCTGAGAAAAGCATCATGCTTACATCCTCAGCCGCTACAAAAGATGGAGATCTTGATGAAAACCCATCATTATCATCATCTGCTGATGGGTTTGAATCCTCAAGCAAGACTCGAAAAGAGTACAAAGAACCATTTGTGAGATACACTTCTTATACTTTTCATTCACCCAACAAAATCCTATCTTGACAAAAAAGAAAATAAGCATGGTGTTAGCATTAATTTGATGCAAAACAAAGGGACAAGCTAAAAAGAAACAAGCAAACACCAAATATGTGATTCTTTGTGTATGATACGTCTCAGCCCGACCCACATTGGGGTCGGATATATCAGCGTCGCAAAAGAGAGGCAGGAAACAAGTAGAAGGGGGCTGTTTGCAATTTTCTTATTCTTAATTAGCTGATTAGGAATTAATTAGTTGATTAGGAAAGTTATTAAGTAGTTTCTTAGGATAAGTATGTTTTCCTATTTTGGAGGAT